ACAGTAAAAGTAATCCATCTGAATCGAGTAGTTTCTTCTGAAGAGACACAATCACTTTATATGATGAACATATTTAATTTAGGCTTTTATTTACATTGATAAATGGGCAAAGTTGTGTATTTGCTCTGTTTTATGTGTAAGACAATGAAAGCATGCATTTCTATAATAATAATAATAATAATAATGTTTATTGTTTTAGGACAAACAGTTAGTTTAGGGATTTTTGGGGAGTATTTTCTTTATCTGGGTTTCAATAAAATCAATATTGAGCAAACCTGATCAAATGAAACTTTAACCCAAACCAAAACCTTATCAAATTGATAAACTGATCAAATGTGACAGTAAAACTTTTACACTGTCACAAAAAAAAAAAAAAAATCAGTTTATTTAGGGCTGGGTGATATGGTTAAAAAAATTATCACAACATTTTTTATATCAGTCGATATCGATAATTATCGACAATTATTCAAATCTTTATTTCTTTCAAGTTTAAAGGCAGGTTTTTGCTCCTAAGTGAAAGTTGTAGAAACCAGACCATTAATTGTGGTTTTAAATGACTCTTTATGGTCAGAATATGATAAGCACTTCACATTGTTGAATTCACATTTGGAACACTCTTCCAGTCATTTTTCCTTAACAAAATAAATATAATAGTAGACACATTTATTTCTTAGCTTCTGCATGTTCTAATGAGTGATAGTCTCAAATCATGAACCAGGTTTGTGTTGCCTGACTTTGATGACACGTATCTTCAGCACAGTTTGCAGTGCAGGCTGCAATAATAATATTACATTTTTTTGGTCTCTTAGAAATGCACATTTGACAGTAGTTTGAGTTGAGTTGACAGTAGTAGCTTAGCTTGAATTAGGATGCAGATGTAAATTTGTTCATTATCAAAAACAGTAACGACTGTAAACATTGTCACAACCTCATTTTTATATGATGAAATTTTATTATTCTGACTGTTTGAGTTTTACTAACATTAACCATTGGTCTTCCATTACAGCATACATTTAGATCATGATAACCACAGTTAAACCACACAGCACCTCAATACCATTGTAAAAATTTAACTTTATGGTTTCTAGGTATTTGTATGAAAAACGGTAGTCTAAATACATTTAGTATAAATGCACAAACACAATAACTTAAAAACAAAAAATACTGTAATTATATTCCATTTCTCCTTTAATACGTCTACATTAATAATATAATAAAATTCAATATGAATATCCCACATTTCTGCCACAATACCATGGCGCTGTTTAGTGCTTGCGTGACTTAAGACTTATCAGTGAGTAAACGCATCTACTCTAGTGAGATCGCACTGCGCTGCCGTTTGAACTTTGAGTCGAGCGTAACTGAATAGCGCTGGTTCGTTCCCCTTTTGGCGCATAAACATTATATCGAACTCTTGTTATCGTTTTATCGAGGAAAATTTTATCGCGAGAATTATAGTTATCGTTTTATCGCCCAGCCCTTTTATTCATTAAAGAATACAAAAAAAAAAAGTAACATGATATGTATCTAATATTAAGCAGAACAACAGTTTTCAACAATGATAATAATAAGAAATGTTTCTTGCACACCAAAATTAGCATATTAGAATGTTTTCAGAAGGATCACGTGAAACTGTGAAGACTGGAGTAATGATGCTGAAAATTCAGCTTTGCCATCACAGGAATAAATTACATTTTAAAAATATACTAAAATAGACAATAGTTAAAGATATGACTCCTACACAATATGACGACTTTTACTGTATTTTATTTTTTTTTAGCAAATAAATGCTTGGTAAGCATGAGAGACTTCTTTCAAAAACTTATTGACTCCAAACTTTTGAATGGTAGTATAGATGTGTCAAGATTAACAATAGACCTGAACACATTTACACCAGATTACAAACGATTTTGATTGATATATCCAAACTGCTGTCAGGGAATAGTGAAAATCTTGTGTAAATATTGTCTGTAAATTTTTTTTAAACTTTATAGTTAAAGGATTTTTTATAGCTTACTTTTAATGGATGATATGTTACAATGCATTTGCTGTTAACAGGCCTCTAAAGCTTTCTTACCCACTCTTCCTCATGCCAATCAACTTGGAGGGATGAACGACTGTTCCTGCCACTCCATTTGGCCAGTAGTGTGTCCTGATCATTCCTCAGCACCACCTGCTCTGAATCAGCAGAGGGTGAGTTTTTAGAGGCAATGTACTCGGGTCTAGCTGCGTTCAAGGCCTGCACTGCAGATGCCAGCAGTTTACAGTCACACACCATCACCAGTTGTCGTGTCTGAAAGTGAGAGAGAAAAAGGAGTTATAGTGTCCGCCTCAGACCACACTGGGTCCAAGTTAGGAAAATTAAATGTGTTATTTTGTATCGTCAAATGGATATAAAGTACTTTGACACCCACCTTATCCGCTAGGATGGCGAGGGTTCTCTCCATGCCGTTAGCGGAGCGTTCTTTAGCGGCGCGAGACAGGCGCTCAGCGTAGTAGCTGACCTGAGTCTTGAGCGTGTTGATATGGGAGATGATCTCTTTGGCACGGACAATATCCTGAGGGATGTAGACGATGGACTGGGAGCTGGACAGAGCACTGCTGCTGGACCAAAGAGAGCTTGGTTAATTAAACACACACCAAACAAGCAATAAATACACACCACTACATTAGTGCACAACAAGAGACAGATAATGATTGTGCATTTCATTCAGACAGTGATGCTCCAGAGACTATGACAAGCACCAAACACTTCAGGTCCTCAATCTTGATTTTTCAGAGCAAAGAGAACAAGGTGCTCAGGGATGACAGATCTGTTTCACTAAGTGCTTCTGTACAATACAAAGGTACAGCAACAGTGGAGTGTGTTTGTACATCTTGAATGAACCAGCAGTATAATTTCAGGAAACACATGATTGAGTGAACCTGTAAAGAACCAGGTCATATTTCACCTCTGTTTTAAATGTAATATGCAGGACACTGCATTTTGCATGAAGAAGCGTGTCTATTTAACGGCTTCCCCGGTAACGGCAGTACACAAATCAGTGTAGCACCAGACTTTGAAATGTGCAGTGCTCATGTTTATCTAATGAAATCATAGCCTTTTGAAGTTTAATCGTCACATTAAACCATATCGTAATTCTGGTCTTTCCGTCCCCAAAATTAAGAAATCATAATTAAGACTTTCTTATACAATATAAGACTTTTTATGGCCTTAAATTTGATACAACTAAATGCAAGACTTTTTAAGGACCCGCGGAAACCCTGTTTAGGGACCATTAATGTATGTACAAATTTTTTTTTGCATTATACTGTCATTGCAAAAATACTTAAAAAATAATTGTGATGATAAGTTATAACTGAATGATTGTTTTAATTATTGATTATTATTATCTGTTAGAGATTATTTAAAATCGTAAAATAGTTTATATATATTTTTAAATAGTAAAATAAAGTGTTACTCATTAAATAAAGCAGTACTGAATTTAATTTATGCTGAGAATGACATTTTTCCAAATTAAATGAATGAGAACCTTGAGGGAAATTGTTTAATTTTCATGAAAATTGTGTAATGCAAAAAAAAAAAAGAGAAAACCTCAATGACCCTAAAATTAATATATAATAATATATATTCTTTTGTTTTGGGGACTAAATACAACACAGTCATTTATAAGTGAGATTCAGTTATTGCAGTACATCAGCCAAGAAAAGTAACAATCAACCTGAGGTTCTAAATGACAAGAAAAAATTCAACAGGAGGCACCGATATATATGTGCGTGCTCAGCATAAGACAATTATAGACTTTTTATTCAAACACACACACACACACCTCTTTTTTAAGTGACCACAGAGAAGGGATGATGGAATCACAGAATAATGAATATTGTTCTGTTCCAAAACATAGTGAGGCAGCGTAGACATCATATGCGCTCATCCGGCGCAAAGGCTGTTTCAAAACATAGGCAATCTAATTATGTTGCCTCCAAATTTTAAGGCAACATCGAAGGCAATACCACAATGCATAAGATGAGCTCTGGATATAAAGCTGCAGCTCACCAAGTTTTAAATCAGAGATGTCATGCAATAAATGCCACAAAAAAAACAAACAAACAAAAAAATAAGTTCAAACTAACTCACCATTCCTCCTCATAAATGCTGATTAGAAAGCAAAAATGCAATTAAAACGTATGAAAAATAAACTAAGAGTGTCTCTTAAAGGAAAACTGCTAATAATGTAACACTAGCAAACCAACACACAACCAAAAGAAGCCAAAGAGAAGGTGATAAACACTGATGAGAGCAATGCTTTTGAAAGCAGAATATACATTCTACATTATTAACAGGAAAAAAATACTGTACAGCTATAAATACAATAGTTTGTTCAATATGAAATGATAAAGCTAGCAAATGGCTAGTGCGATTTTAAATGTTCCTAAAGGTTGTTTGAATAGTTTTATCCTTGAATTAACTCACACAAATGTATTTCTTGTAAACATATTACAGCAAAAAGGAAACGGATCAAATTTACTTCAGTGAAACTACAAGACAAGCGATTAACAAAACAGATCTAAAATGCCACCTGTCACTTAGGTCATTACCTGAAACTTAAATCACATGATAGCTCTTCCTTCACATGCAACACATGCATGTACATGTGAACACACACGTACAGTACACTCAGTTCATATCTTGCATATTTTCAAAACTAGACAGACAAACATAACTTACACTTTTTTTGCCTCCTCAAATTTTTGTAATAGTTTCCGCAAACCACCGTTTTTGAAGCCCTGGCAGTGAGCTGCAGGGGCCCCGATCGTAACCACATCATAGGTGTGATCTAGATACATAAACACACACATCCATGTCATGAGATGAACAACTTAGTTCTTAATATATAATTATTGTCAGTAGTTGAAAATAATTGAACAACAGTGACTCTGCACATTGCCATGAAGAAGATCAGCAGTGTAACATACATGTATCTCACATCCATTCTGCCTCAGAGTAAACATTTAAAAAAGATAATGAGACCGAGCTTAAAATAAGAAATAAAGTCGTAGATACAAAGTTGTGAGATATAAAGCTACATTACGAGATATAAAGTCACAATTGTGAGATATAGTAGGACTCCTAGATATACATTTGGAATTATGAAAAATTATGTTGCATTGTGAAATATAATGTTGCATATATGAGAAATAAAGTTGCATTCTGAGATAAGTTGCAATTACATTGGGAAAATAAAGTCAAGAGAAGGCACATTGTGAGTAATGAAGTCACATTGCAAGATAAAAAGACATAATTGGGAGGCATAAAGTCACAGTGCGAGATATACATTTGCAAATGCGTGAAATAGTTGCAGTAAAGTTACACTGAGATAAAAAGTCGCAAATACATAAAAAAAAGTCACAAGACGATGCATTGTAAGATATTACGTCACAAGTGTGAGGTACAATCGTACTGCAAGATAAAAAGTCACAACTTACGTGAAAAAGTCATGAGAAACCGCATTGTGACATATAAAGTTACAATTAAGAGACAAAGTTGCGAGAAGTCAGACTGTGAGTCACAAGTGGCAGAAGTGTGAAAAATAAAAAATTAAAGTCGTGGGCTTCCATACGCTACTTCGCATTCCAGTGATGTATTTTCTCATTACCCCAAACTCACCTACCTCTATCAATGACTAAAGTCGATTATTTTTTTTTTTTTTTCAGTTTTACTTTGTTATTTGGGACAGATTAGTAGTAAATCTCCATCACGTGTTTTCAGATGGAGCGGCATTTAATACACAGAGCCGTAGATCACTGACAAGCTACGTAATATCACGTTCATAATCGAAGGCGATTCATCTACGATTATGAACGCGATACTGCGTAGCTTATCAGTGATCTACGGCTCTGTGTATTAAATGCCGCTCCATCTGAAAGCACACGATGTAGATTTACTAATAATCACAGAACCGGCTTTACTGACGAGATGTGCATGACAATCGCATGCGATTTATCGTGCAGCCCTACTACAGTCCTTTTTCTAAAGAAATGTCACTTTCATGTAGCACTATAGCTTGGGAAGTGTAAATGCAAGACTAGGGGGGTCAAAACTAAAAGAACATCAGTGATCGTCTGAGTGTGTCTTTGTGTTGAGTGTATGAAAACTTCTGAATGAGAGACTATTGACATGTGCAAAGTGCTTGGAATAACAACTCTTACTGCCTGCTGGGACTGACTCAGTAAAGAGCACATATACCAAAGTGGCCAACAAGAATATAGAGCAGTGAAAAAAACCTTTCAAATGGAGGGTAATAAAAAAAGGGGAACAGGATGACTAATACAATAAGTACACAGAATGAATGAAATAGATCTAACCACAGCCAGACTCATCTTGAACCCTCATTCTCTGCACATGGAGGTTGGTAGGCATAAATTCCAATTTTCTCTCTGCTTTCAGATTACTGGCTTTAAATGATGGACCTGTAAGACACAGAGAGATAGAGAGAGAAAGAAATCTCCTGATACCCCTTTATCATTCAAACAATGTAGACATGTCACTGGAGAATCTTTCATAGAATTCTGGGTCATCTGGAGGTGTTTTTTGTCAGTTTAACCCTATATAAAGCCAACTAAACCATATTTGACATACAAATTTAAACAAAGTTATCAGCATGTTTAAAACTCTGCTGAAAAACCTGTTGTACACAATCAGCTGCATCCCTCTTATTGTATGATTGATAATTGACAAATTTTTAGGAAGTAATAGGGCTATTAGTATCATTCTAAAAAATTTCTAATCTTCAGGTCGTGGTACACATGTCTTTTTTATCATGTAAACATAAGAATAACTTTTACATTGTTAGTAATATTTCACTTACTAGACTGAAGCAACTTGATTATCCATGTATACATTTGAGAAAAATCATGTTAAAATGTGAGTATCAAATATGATACATCAGGTTGTATCAATGTATTGCATTGCATTATATGTTTTGCCCCCCACATTGAATACTACAGAGCTTCATAAAGCTAAACATTTAAGTATCATTTTACTAAGACACATTATTGGGATATATTGAGTGACAAATCATATTTATATGCATTTGAGGCAAGTAATCTGCTATACTGATAGTATACTATATTGATTTACATTACAAGATATCAGAATTTCATCTTACTTTTTGGCCATATAAATATCAGCAACTACACCAAACTGCATATTTTTGCTCAGTTTTTGGTCTCATGTAAGTGATTTCAATACTTGTATTAATGCATGTAAATGTAATGACTTTATGCATTTTAGCTGGTATGGACTCCATGAAGCAAGTGTAAGTCCTGGTGACCACGTTATCCAATTTCATGTTAGTGAATGTTGGTCAGAGACCTAGAAATAGCGAAGAATCTATTTTTTTCCCCTTCCTTTTCTGTAATTTTTCAAAATGTTCAAATGCTAGTTTATTTTCAAGTTTTGAATTATATTTTGACTCCAACACTATCAGTCTCACATATTTGGACTTAACATCTGAAAGTTCTGAAATGAAGAGTGTAACACAACAGGAACACCTCTTGCAACCTCCAAATGCAGACTGACCTTTGTAGTCCTGCAGGTCTGTGAGTGTATCCTGATAGGTCTGAAGGATGCTCTGGTACTGTGTCACGATTTGCCGTCTGAGGTTCTCCCAACACGGTGATAACTCCCCCAACTCTTCCAGCTCAGATACCCTACATCAAAAACAGGATCATGTAAAGGAGTGCTCTTTGCACATTTTCACATCATCAAAATGGTCATAGTGTGGATGCAACTGTGTGTATGTCTAAGATCACGATGCACACCTGGAGAAATCCTCTTCCAATAAGAGTTTGACGAACTGTCGTGGAATGTTAAGTGACAGGACACTCTCAGCCATCTGTTCCAGGATCCGTAAATGATTCCCATCAGTGGTTGGAAAACGGTACATACGCGACATGGTGCCACCAAACACTGAGACAGAAATAGAATTAAACCATAAAGAGAAATCAATTGTGCCAGGCTGTAGCATTAAAACTGTACTTGCATGCATTTATATTATGACCAGGTCCTGGATTTCACTTCTGTCAATACAAATGGAACTAAGTGCCACTGAGCTTGGGAAAAGCACTGTTTCTGTCAATATTTTCCATAGAGACATTAAGCAACATGTATCAAGCAGTGGCCAGTGCTTTTCAAGAATGAGAAAGCACAGATGTCACTCAACACTTGTTAAAGCAAGATATGAAAATTTTGTGCAAAGTTGCTACAAAAAGCTGCTTCTCAAACTACTACAGAAAAGCTGTAAATTAAATGTAAATGTAATTTTTTTTAATAATAACCTAGCCCCGTCTTTATCGTGAGATAAACACAATAATTTCATTGTACCTTGTACATATGACAATAAAGTTCTTGATAATAAAACGAGTCAAAACAGACTTCTTTAACGGTATGTTTATCTCCGAGCACTCCGTGTTCAGCTGTTTTTTAATTACTCACAATTTTCACAACCATTCAAAAGTTTTGGAAAGAAATTAATACTTTTATTCAACAGGGATACATTAAATTGGTCAAAAGTGACAGTAAAGACTTTAACACTGGTACAGAATAGCTGCTGGACATACAGATTTACTATCATAGAAATAAATTAAATTTTAAATTATATTAAAATAGAAAAAAAAAGTTACTTTTAATGTTAATATTTCACAAAACATTTCATTTTGCCAACTGTTTTGAATAAAATGTGTGCTCTGCATGTTTCTTGAAAATGCCCACTTGTTGTAATGCTTTGTTATGTAATGCAAATAACATTTATACAATTTTAATTGTAGTATTATGTTTCAATGACTAGCCAATGGTTGCTGAGTCCCATGCATTTGAGAGCTCATCCAATCATCATATAGAGAAGTAGTTTTCAGGCAGGACAAAAATATAGAGATTGAAAGCCCAATGTCCAATGAACATGGGGTCCTAAATGAATACAAAATGACGTGTTTAGAGCATTTTTTCCAATTAACATTTATCTTTGTTCTATTGAAACAGTTATATGCCCCACACATTTGGCCATACACTGCCTTTCCATCACAATGAATAAGTCTAAAGGCCGTTCCACACTGAATGCGATGCGAAAAAGCGAGGCGAATCGCCGACGAACAGTGCTTTCACACCGAACGCGAAACGGTTGTTCGCCTTCTGCTAATTCACACCTGCACGCTAGGTGGCGCCGACCAGCAATGCATTTTACCTCAGATATGTATCTCATATATGGATTTAACATCGTCCACTGGTCAATATACAGCATTAAATTAATATAGCTAAATAAAGTTTGGTTCTACGCCAGAAACACAAACCATTTTGGATCTAAAATATGAATAGTTAATTATAACTAGTTATGGTTAATTATTCATATTTCCCCATGAGCTAAATTCGCTACAATGCTTACAAGAAAACATCTTAAAATATAAATAGAAGTACAATTAGCATCAAGCTACATTTAAAAATTTGTGTAATTATTAATGTATTTGCTTAAAACCCACTTTAAACCATCATCGAGTGCTTGTAATAACTCCCGATAGTGATCTATAGTTGATTTTGATTCTAGGCAGACATGCACTCTTTGTATGTTTAATAACGCCACACTGCTTATTGTCATAAATATCCTTTATTGTTATAAAAATACCATGAGCTGTATACAAAACACATACAGAAAATATATTGTCATAATCATATGTCTACTTGCTTTCATATTTCATGTGTAGAAAAATGTTTCCCTCGATTTTATTAATACGGAAGATCTAGAGTGAACGCACTCTGACTCATAACACTTGCGCACGTGGAAGAAAACGGACACTCCAGATCACATAATTCAGTGGATAATTAATGGAAATTATATTAAGAACATGTGAGAATAAATCTGTTCTCAGATACCAAAGATAACAAAAACTCGTCATCCACTCTCTTCTCTCTCGGGATACTCTTCTTGTGTTACAGTAGTTTAAACTGGTTTTCGAAACCGAGCCACCACTCTTGACTTTTTGTGCAACAGCAGCTGATCCAGGCACGTGATGTAATGCTCAAATTTTATTGGACGGCCCGTGTTTTCGCTTTGCGAAACTGAAAAGATTCATCCGACTGGTTCGGAAAAAAACATTCCCATTTTCGGTGCGCGAATGTTCGTGGTCTATGTGGAAGCATCCATAGGAATCTATTATTTTATTCCAGCGCGTCATCGCGTCCGATATTCGTTTAGCTTTTTAGCGCTCAGTGTGGAAAGGCCTTTAGGGTGTGAAAAATAAGCCTTTCTTCTAGTGGCTGACATTCTTACCAGATCGTAGAAAGGAGTCTTTCCACAGTGAGGCGTATTTCACTCTGACTCCCACAGATTCTGTCAGACTCTCATCCACGGAGAGGACAATCTGCAGCAATGGAACACGAAATAACAAAAACATGTCAGAATGCATAAAACTAGTGATCAAACATGCTGTTCGTTGGGTCACTGGGGCATAGACAGGCTCACCCTGCCATTGACGGTGTCTTGTAGTTGTTTGATTGGTGTATGCTGATCTCTCTTCTCCTCTAGCTGCCAGGCGATGACTGTAATACTACCCACATGCTTGTTTTCTGCTGACCTGAGGAAAAGGGATAACAGATGTCAATATGTTCAAACTGCATACATATATGCCTGTGTCCTTTTCAGCAATGAACCACTTCTAGATGCCCCTCTAGATGAGACTGCTCAAACTGTCATGACTTCAAACAAAGATGGTTGGATCACCTGAGAGGTAAGTTTAGTCTGTGGTTCTTTTCCAGCAGAAGATCCTTCACTGGGAACATCGCTGAGCCAAGAAGGTACATCTAGAAAGTGAGAAAAATAATATAAAAGGATCAAAAGATAAAGACAAAGTAGCAGAATCAGAGCGGTTCTTCTCATTTGTTGTGCGTGGTATTTATCTCACCGTTCCTTGTGAGCGATCTTTTACATCGTACACAGAGAGCTTGACCTGTGTGTGCTGGTTAATGTGGGAATCTTGGAAGAAAGCCACACTGCTGAGGAACATGGGATTATTTGTACCCTGCAAACAGACGTCAAACCATTTGTTTCGATTAGTCATCCAAATCAGTCCACATTGTTCCATAAATGACAGAAAAACAACATCCGTCTTGGGTGATCACAAGTGGTCAACTCTACACACTAGGGCTGGACAAAAATATAGATTTTCTGATTAATTGTGACCTTCATTTGAATGATCTTGATGATGATTCTTAAAATCCCACAACCAATCTTTGATTTTATGCAATAGTTTTCTCTACAGCCTTACGGCAAAATAAATCATATTTTACCCGAGTTTGTAGTCCAAAATAAACATTCACAAACATATGACTTATGAGCTGATCCTTTTAATGAATTATTCAATAAAAACATACAAACACAGGATTTACCAATTTAATCAGTAACATAGCTGAACTATTTGATTTTATTTACTGAACTCTTATTTCAATAAATCCTGTTCTTTTAAAATCCTGAAAAAAGTATTACAGTTTCCAGGAAAATATTACGCAGCATATTAGAACGGCAACATCAGCATATTAGAATGATTTCTGAAGAATTGTGTGACACTGAAGACTAGTGGTCGACAAATTTATCGCCAAGGCTCATATATCGGCCAATATTTGGAAATTTTGAATTATCTGAATCGGCTGATAAGTTTTTCTCTTTAGCTGATGTGTCAGAAGCGGGACTTTTATTTTGACAGCGTCTGAGTGCACAGAGCTCCCATGCTCCCAGTCTTCATTGGTTTACAGTCTCTGTTTAACAGTTCCGTCTAAGAAATTATGGTAACACTTTGGAATAGAACCCAATTCTCACTATTACCTAGTTGCTAATTTGCATGCCTATTATTAACATAACTACATCCCTAATCCTACCCAATACCTAAACTTAACTACTTTACTAAGTATTAATAAGCAGCAAATCAGGAGTTTATTAAGGCAAAAGTCGTAGTTAATGGTTTGTTACTAGCGAGAATTGGACCTTAAAATAAAGTGTGACCTAAATTATTAGACAGTACTTTTAAACAAAGAAAGTAAATGGATACAAAAAAGAATAATCGGCATCGGTTGACCACTGGACAGTTATTAGAAAACAGTTATTACGAATTTTAATAATATTTCACATGGATACTTCTTTAATTGTTTTTTTTTAAACAAATAATACATTCATATAACTGAAGTGTTCATGAACTTATTAAATGGTTCCCGGATTAATTTATAGCATTAGCAAAGAGTGACATAACAGAAATATGCCCTAGTGAATCAAATTACAATTAGTATCGTTCACGCTCACCTCAATGATTTCTGTCTGTGCATATTTGGTCCAGAAAGCCTGAGGAGGTGTGGTACAGCTCACAGCGACAAAACTGTTGGGTTTTCGGTCCAGAGACGGTGTGGTCAGCTCGCTGCAGACTACACAATCACATTCACATTCAGGGTCATGACAGTGTGAAGATTTTCCAGATGAAGCATTGTATATATGAATGAGCTGCAGTATACTTCAAGTGTTATTTGCTAAGACCTGCTGGTTCTCAGAGATATAATTAGACCTCCACAGTTAAACCACTTTATTTACAACTTATGTGAGATGGAGGCAGTCACTTAATCCAAGCGCAGCTGCTTTAGTGGTTAACTTCACATAAGCATACAGTAGGACACAGAGCTCTCACAGAAATATTTATACTACTGTTCAGTGTCATTTACAATCTAAAGATCAGATCTGATAGCCAGCTGAACCATTTTATGCCCAGCAGTCTTGGCTGCTAATGGAGAACAGTTCATTTCTGGTGCCATTTCTGCTGCTTTAGAAAATATTGAGTATGTGATGGTTGGAAAAACAAAACTGACCAAGACTGAACTCCAGTACTGGCTCATCTGGATCTTGACTGTTCCCTACAAAGAGGAGAAAGAGAAAAAGTGATATAATTCTGACCTGATATAATGCAACGTAAAATGTAATACAAGAGAATATCAAAACCCAAGTTCACTGGTACTACTGTATACCTTCCAATGCTAGTCCAAGCATTTCTGAGCAAAGCTCTAAAGTGTTCGACCTGTACACCGACCACGGCCGTTCCCTCCGTGACATTGTGGCAGGATGCGTGTGCGTTATATTGACGTTTAAGTAACAGGAGTGGTGGAAACCCACACACAGCCAGACACACTCCTGTGTGGCCGTTTCCTCCTCTGTTATCTGAGAGAGAGAAAGAGAAATCAGATTTTTTTTTCAGAACTGGTGGAAACACAGGAACACTAAAGTAGTGTTTGATAAGCAGCTGGACTTCACAAGACCACCTTTTCTTACAGGCACCACTGGAGGGTTCTAGAGTATAATCGCAGCTTCCGGAATTAAAATAGAAAGAATCCTTGTGGGGGTTTGCTTCCTTTCAGATATTTAACTTAACAATTTGAAAAATTATATATTAGCAATATCCTTTGCTCTGCTTCTGGGGTCGTTAAATACAAGAAATAAATTCAACTGTGTGATTCATTGGGAAGGCAGAGTATTGTGGAGACATTCAGAATGGTTGAAACCAGTGGACCAGATGGTATTGCTCTGAAGAAGCCTGTCCAATATACATCCTCCACTCCTCTCCTATGATTATTTTATATTCTGAATATGCTAAATTTAAATACCTTTAAATCTACTACATTAGAAAGAAAGGACTGGAAACTTATAGAAATATTTAGTCAAAGACTAGATCTCAGAGAACATGGGCATAGCTAATAGCTAATGGGACGGTATACTGTAGGACAGTATGCCCATATGTGATAAAGAGTCTCTCTTCTGTCCTCTACTGTACATCTGTTTATCCATCTAGATTTTTTGATAATTTGAAAGACCCTTGTGAATCATTTGTGCCTTTAGTAGGCATATAGATAACTTCATAATGTTAATAGACATGATTGATGAACAGAACTTCGCCTGCCCACATCACTCTATGAGTCAAACATGAACAACAGGAGCCGATGTTAAATTCAACACACACAGATGCATCGAAACTCATCAAATGCCATATTTAGAAATTTACATAACGTGGTCCAAAAGTCTGAGACTACATTTTATATCTTGGATTTATTTTATGTAGACATGGAAATAAATAGAGCTGGGTATCGAGTTCGATACTTTTTAGGCACCGACCGAATTGCCTCGATACCATAGAGCAGGGGTGGCGAACGTCAGTCCTGGAGAGCCGCAGCCCTGCACAGTTTTGCTTCAACCCTAATCAAACACACCTGAACAAGCTAATCAAGGTCTGAAAGGTTACCAGAAAGCTACAGGCAGGTGAGTTTTAATTAGGGTTGGAGCTGTACTTTGCAGGGCTGAGGCTCTCCAGGACCGGAGTTCACCACCCCTGCCATAGAGTATCGAAAAACGTCTCGTCGTTCGGTACCAAATTTCGATACCTAAGGGGTTAATCTCATCAACGTCAGTGAGCCAATAAGCCTGCAGCACTAGCAGGTGTGCTCGATTAGAAGCGGCGCGGCGCAGATCGATCAGTGTTTGACACACGAAAACGTATGGAGCAGTCTGCTCGTGGTACTGTAATACACCGATCGGTCTGCACAGTCGGTCCGGGTCACGCGCCACACTCAGAGATGTCCCAGCCCCCGTAGCTGTAAGGCTACATTTACACTGGTGCGTTTTTGTTTTAAATCGAAAAGCTATTCCAATTTCGGAAATCAGATCAGTTATTGTGATTTCAAAAGATTCAACTGCAAGAAGAGGAAATAGAACTCTATTCGCACGCACAAAAGCCGCCTCTTATATGCGCGAACACTGGACTGAGCGCTCTTTCTCGCATTCTTACACATTCGAATGGACAAATACACACAGAATTATAACAAAATATCCCATAAGTACAATCGGTTATGTCATAAGTGAATGTAGAGTTGAAAAAGAAAACAAGGGTGTATTGGATCCGTGCATTGACAGCAGCTGCTGCCGCCAGTCATTAATGTAACTCAAAAGAGATCTCCAAACTAGTAGGCTACCAGAAAGGAAAAAAAAAAAACCTTAACGGTTTTGCTCAGAATTAGTTTTTAATCCCTGCATGATTTTAGTCATACATGATAAATATCAAATACATTATAGCTTGACTATAAGTTTAAAAACAACGCTGCAATTGTTATAAAGGAAATTAAACATACCATCATGAAATGTGTCTACACAGGCGATAATGCCAAAAAGAAAGAGAAACATCGGAAAATATAGCCATATTTTATTAAAGACATTACTATATGACATCAACATGCATTTATCATTCGTAAAATCACCGCCAGAATGTCCAACTTCACCATGAACTTAAAATTGGGTTCTATTATTTTTCCTCAACCATTCTCCTCACAAAACGAAATTTAATAAGAACAGAGTGTAAATTATTAGCAACACCAAAATAACAGCAAAGCTAATGTTATCTGTTAGTTTAAGCACAAACTAAGAAAAGTAAAACCAAACTTTGTGGCAATAATTAAGACCAAACTGAACATGGTGTGTGTTTATGGTGCATGTTGGCAATGTTGTCTCGGCTGGGGCGGGGCGTGGTGGAGGTGGGTCTTAGGTTAAACGATATTATCGGATATCACAATATTTTATTTAACACGATACACAGCCCTAGCTTCCACTCAAAAAAGGCATTTTCAAAATGATATAATACATGATCAGTGGGGTATTTTGAGCTGAAACTTCACAGACACATTCTGGGGACACCAGAGACTTGTATTACATCTTGTAAAAAGGGACATAACAGGTGCCCTTTAAGATAAACCTCTAGACCCCACAGTATGTACACAGGCTGCAAAAACAGCAGTGATAAATAGGGATGTAACGATTAACCGCGAGCCAGTCGAAAATCGATTCAAATATGTGACGATTCAAATCAGCTGAGATGTCAAACAAAGGAGTTTATATGAATGTATATCTAAGGGGAACTGACTATCTTTAGAAAAGTTTACGTGGTGTTTTCTTTTCATCTTGCCTCTGAACAGTGCATATTAAAGTAATGTTCATAAGCCCAGCTCTGCTTTGTTTACAGCAGTAACCCAGGAAACACTGAATCATTGCTGTTCATACGTGCCACCTTCTGTCAGAGAGTGAATCTGCGTCTCATTCAGCTCGTCTACTGTTTCGTTCAGATATGTTTTATGTAGTATAGTTTCACAAAACTTGCTTCAAATGCTTGCTTCAAATTTCGAAATTATACAGTCTAATTTAGATTAAAAACTGCTCATGCTGCATGTATGCTGCATCTTTGTTTGGATCATGATTAAAATCCAGTGGTTGCCTATAATTTTAAATGGAAAGAGCACAGACAAAGCCTTAGTTTGTTCATATTAAGATATTTTTTTTATTTGTGTAACTTTGGGGTTTGTTTTAAAATTTCAATTTAGTTTTGTTATATTTGAATTTCACAAAGAAACGTGCAGCAATAGCCTAATAAAACGACACCTTTTCATTTACTGTATAATGTCTTCAATCTCATCTTGTTAAAAAAATCGTGAGAAAATCGAATCATTATATCAAAATCGTGAATCGAATCGAATCGTGAGTTGAGTGAATCGTTACATCCCTAATTCTCACTATAAGTATAAATCTTTGAGAATCATCTTTTAATGGTCTTCTGTTAAACATCAAGAATGTTATTTAGACAGCTGAAAGAATTATGACAGAAAATGTCATAAATCCTGCTCATCTGGTTGTCTCCATGGAGATGATGTTTTATGGTACTGTCACTCTCTGTGGGATTGTTATTTCATTGCTACTAACAAAAAAAAACAAGACCTGCTGTGGGAGATTATTAAAGCAAGTGGGCTGCAAACTTTCACTTGCTATTGACACAACCTCAATGACCCATCTCTGCTGCTTCTGCAAAAGCCATGAGAAAAACAAGTTATGAAAGTAGTGATGGACGCATCAAGTTGAAAATTCTCAACTTAAAATCCTGGATTTAACTTAAAATGAATATTTAAAAATTAATTGGAACAAATTCTCATTATTATTATTGATAACAATAATAAAATGTTACCGTTTATTCATTTCTTTGTTCCCTGGTAATACTACAATAATATATTTACTTCTTCAGACACTGTGTCCTCTAATAGACACTATGGGGACTGCCGCCAGCAGGACCGGTTGTCTGAAGCACGTGTAAAACAACTCCAATCCCATTGGCCCACATAGCCGTGACGCCACAGGTGGGTGCCCTGGAAATATAAGAGGGCGCCTGCCGAGCACGTCACTAACTTAATTGTCTGAAGGAGATGTGAAAATAAGCAAGCCCTAGGCATGGCGAGGGGATGCAGCATCTCGTTCCCTCTCAGGGAACCATGGTTACATGCGTAACCCGAGATGTTCCCCTTCTAGGGAACTCACCCTGCGTCCTCTAGCGTGCACTATGGTGAATGGAATGCCCACTCAGCCATGCCGCAGTGCATGCCTGTTCACCTGGTGAGAGAGCACTAAGGGAAGTTACAGACATGCCCCCTTTCTGAGGAAAGGTTCGATGTAAGTTACTGATGTCTTGGGCTACTAAAATAAGTCGGGGAAAAATGGGGAACCCAGCCAAACAGGAGGGACACTCCATAAACATAAAAAGTTAAGAACACAGCTATCCTCAGAAGGCTGTTACAATGAGCCAAAACAGCATGAAGGGCCCAGGGGGACTGCCCACTTAAAAACCCCATAGGAATGGGGGGGGGCAGCCCACCCCTACTACCTGACTAAGCTTAAGGTGTAAAGGGAAGTAGACCATCGACTCAAAATCTTATGGCTAAAAAAGGGCTCATTGGGCTCACCCAATCACTGAGAATACTTGAAAAAAGCCCACGTCACAAGGGAGAGACCAGACCTTCAGTCAATAGTTCGCCAGCAAGGGAAACACATAAGAACATAATTAGTCCAGTATTGGAGCCCGATGTAAGCAGTGGTCTAAAAACACTCAAAGGGGGGTGGGGGGTGGGGAGCATCAAGAAGTGTTAGAATCACAGCACGGTGCAGGCCAACCAAGAAAAACCAGGGGGGGGGGGGGGGGGGGGGGGGGGGGCAGCCCAGCCCTACTATCTGACTAAGCTTAAGGAGTAAAGGGAAGTTGACCATCTATTAAAATCCTAACAGGGGAGGTGACTAGAAAAGGGCTCAGGGGGACTGCCTACTTGAAAAAACCCTGATAAGGGGGGGCAGCCTGAACACT